AGCCTCCTGAGTAGCTGGGATTATAGGTGTGTGCCGTGCTAAATTTTGTATTTTTAGTAGAGACGGGGTTTTTCGGTGTTGGCCTGGCTGGTCTCAAACTCCCAGCCTCAAGGGATCCGCCTGGCTCAGCCTCCCAAAGTGCTGGATTACAGGTGTGAGCCACCGCCCTGGGCCAATGGGGGAAGGTTTGAACAATGGTAATGAAGATGGCTGACTTCTCAGAAGAAAAGGCTGAAGAGGTCCTTGTATGTCAAACAGGGAGAAGGGAGGTGAGTGTTGCCCTAGACTTTGAGAGCCAAAGGGGCTGACTGTCATCAGAAACATTTTGAGGGTGGGAGGGAGAGTCCTCTGCCTATAAGGGCTTTGGTTCCCAAAATAGAAACAGAAAGGTCAACCTGTCCTTCTGCCAGAGCTGGTTATCAGAAAAGAGATGAGATATCTCTCGCCTTCTCTCATGTGACTTCTCAGTGGCCTGATGGAGCTGGGAAGGATATGAGCTGCAGTGGGGAGGTTCCCAGCTGCCCTTGGCCTTAAGACCAGTTTGAAGGGAAAGGCCATGCCAGGGCATCCCATGGAAGCCGTCTGCACTCGGGTCCACCCCAGAACCTGCTTCCACCCGCTTCAGAACCACTGAAGTCAGCCTGGCACTGTGTGGGGAAGCAAGGCCAAAGAGGGGCTTGTGTCCAGATTACTGCTGGCTTTGGACTTGGTTTATGCCAATGCTAGGCCTGGCTTGGAAGGAGGCCTTCCCTCAGGGTGGCACAGCATGGTGGAGTGAGGAAAATATAGGTTCTGATGTTAGAGAGATTTGGGCTGGAATATCAGTTTGCAATACGTCAGGCAATACGTTTCTTTTTTTTTTTTAATTTTTTTTTTTTTTTAGACTAGTCAAGTGCAGTAGTGAGAAGGGGGGAAAGAGTAGAACAAGGAGTTCGATCTGTAACTGACTGTGAACAATCGCGATAACTCACTACCTTCGGATCAGCAGGCAATATGTTTCTTGACCTTTCTTTGTTGTATGATCCCCCTTGCAGAATTAGCACAAGGATTTTTTTTTTTTTTTAGATGGAGTTTCACTCTGGTTGCCCAGGCTGGAGTGCAACGGCGCGATCTTGGCTCATTGCAACCTCCACTTCCCGGGTTCAAGCGATTATCCTGCCACAGCCTCCTGAGTAGCTGGGATTACAGGTGTGCGCCATCACGCCCGACTAATTTTTGTATTTTTAGTAGAGACGGGGGTTTCACCATGTTGGCCAGGCTGGTCTCGAACTCCTGACCACAGGTGGTCCACCCGCCTCGGCCTCCCAAAGTGCTGGGATTACAGGCGTGAGCCACCACGCCTGGCTTTAGCCACCACGCCTGGCTTTAGCACAAGGATTAAATGAGATGTTTATACTGCATTTGGCATAGACACTGTCAAAGAATAAAAGGGCAGTAAATTATAACAATGATCATTGGGGGCTGGCTATTGGAGAATTGTTGGCTCTCTCCAGAGGAGTTAAGATAACCTCCCTCTACGCCCTAACCCCGTTTACTAATCCCGCAGACCCCGCCCCACCTCCGCTAGCCCCGCTTCCTCCTCTAGCTTTGGCCTCCACCATGACGCATGCGCCCTCGGGCTCCCCCGCGGCTGCTTCTCTTGGCTCTCCTCTCCGGCGGATCTGGAGCCTCGCGTCTTTTCCAGTGTAGGCCCCGCCCCCGCCGGTAGAACCCCGCCCCCCGCTGGTAGGGCCCCGCCTCCCGAAGCAGTTCCGGTTCGGCTCAGAGCAGCTGCCGGTGCGGCGGTGACGGCGGCCGGGGCGATGCCTGCGCGCAGCCGCCACCGCCCCCGCCTCCACTCCGGCTCCCCGCCCCGAGCTCCGCCCCCGCCGCTTGGGGCACTTCACTCCGGCGAGGCGGGGAGGGCCCCGGACTCCGACGGCGGCTCGGACGCCGACTCGGAGGTGGGTCCGGGGAACCCGACTCGGACCGCGGAGGTGAGCGGGAGCTGAGGCTGAGGAGAGGGGAGCTTGGGGGGCGCCTGCTGCCAAGGGTGAGTGCGGAGTCTGGGATGGAGCTGGGGGCTGCCGAGGGACTGCGACCCAGAGGGGCCCCGGGGAGACGGTTGAGGGAGCGGGGAGAGTCAGCTCTGGAATGGAATCTGAAAGAAATGGAGGTTGTCGAACCGAGGGCCTAACGCTGAGGGGTAAGTGGAGGCCGAGGAGCAAGAGGGAGGGGGTGGGAGGAGGAGGCTTGAAGAGCCCAGAGCTTGGGGGCTTTTGAAAGCAGCGCAGTGGGGGAAGAAGATCGAAGGGGTCCTGCGGAAATGTGCACCTGGGGAAAGAGATGCTCTGAATTTGGCAGCGGGGGTGAGGAGAGGAGCAAGACCTGGGCCAGTGTTCCCTTCCCAGGGCGAGGGAGGGCGATCGGTGCTGGGACTGGAGCCCTCTGACCCGGCTGGGGCTGGTGGTGATGGAGGGCAGGATTTAGGTTTGACTGGAAGGAGGAAGGGCTATTGGATGGGAAATCGTTTGGCCTCTAGGGGTGAGGGAGGCATTGAAAAAGAGAAGTGTGGTCAAGAAAGAAAAGGAACCCTTGAGGATCTAATTTTGGGCTTTGGCATTTTAACAGGTGCCTTTCAAAACATCAAAGATCACTAGGGCAATGTACTTGGATTGTGGGGCTTTCTCATTCGTGCACAGTGAATCCTTTTAAGAATCTGGGGTGGAAGGGGCGGTGTGAATCACTGATTTGCCTAAAGGACTGGGGGAAGTAGTGGAGAGGAAGTGATGTTTGAAGAAGGTAGTAAAAGACATGGTTCTGAAAATGAAGATACCATTTGGATTTATTGACAGTAATGGTATTCTTCGTCTTCTTTTTTTTATTTTTTTAAATTTCTAAGTTTAAATACCAGACACGTTAAGATCCTAAAAAAGATTTACTACATTACCTTTAAGTTTTAAAAATTAAACTTTGAAACAAGACTTTGGATACTCGGATTTTAAAAATTAAACTTGAAACAAGAATTTGGGCACTTGGATTTTAAAAATTAAATATGAAACAAGAATTTAGACACTCGGATTTTACAGATACTCAATATTGATTGGTTCCACTTTCACAGTTTGAGTTGACAACATGTATTTGCCACATGGTAAAAATATGGTCAATGCAAGTTTCTGGGTTAAGGGGGCACAGGTGAACTCGCCACAGTCTAGGCGGAATACCAACTCTTCCTCTCACTGATCAAACTCCAGGATTGGAGTTGTCTCTTGAAAATTGGACAGCTACTTTTGATAGATTTGCAAAACCAATATTCAAATACCATTTTGCAGATATTGTGTGAATAATTTTTTTTTTTTTTTTTTGAGACGGAGTCTCTCACTGTCGCCCGGGCTGGTGTGCAGTGGCGCAATCTCGGCAAGCAACCTTCGCCTTTCGGGTTCAAGCAATGCTCCTGCCTCAGCCTCCCGAGTAGCTAGGATTGCAGGCACCTGCTATCACGCCTGGATAATTTTTTGTATTTTTAGTAGAGGCAGGGTTTCACTATGTTGGCCGGGCTGGTATCGAACTCCTGACCTCGTGATCCACCCACCTGGGCCTCCCAAAGTGCTGGGATTCAGGCATGAGCCACCCCGCCCGGCCAGTGAATAATATTTTTAGTAGAGTGATTTAGAAAAATAAGGACAGAGGATGCTTGTAGTTGGCAGCCAACACAACTGGGACAGGTGGGTACATAGATGTTTTTTTTTTTTTTGGAAGACATAGTTCCAAAACATAATTATGCCAGAAAAATAATGATTGCAATATTTATATTCACTTTAGTAGAGATAAATTCACTTCCTTTTGTGATTGTTAAGTCATAACATGGCTCCATGAAGCCTTTGTTTGACTTTAGCCACATGTCTCATATGTTTTACAACTTTTTATGTGATTATAGGTTTGTAAAGTTGTTGCCCATTTCTTTTCCTTCTTTCTTTTTCTCTCTCTCTCTTTTTTTTTTTTTTTTTTGAGACAGAGATTCGCC